GTATGTATGTATGTATGTATGTATGTATGTATGTATGTATGTATGTATGTATGTATGTATGTATGTATGTATGTATGTATGTATGTATGTATGTATGTATGTATGTATGTATGTATGTATGGCAGTACTTTCCAGGTTATCCTGTATATACTCGGAAGTTGTTTACTGTTCTCTTTTTCTGGGGATGGTCTGGGACTGTGTACCTTGCCTAAGGCAACATATACGGTCTTTTCTCCTACAAGGCACAGTAGGCAATTGAACTCTTGACTTGTGTCTCCTCAGCCAGATGCTTGCTTGAGGCCACTGAACTATCCATCCAACTCCCATTTGTTATTAGTCACATCAGATTTGTGATTCAAAAAAATAGTATAACACTTTTAAGCTCTTTGGGGATATTTGTTTCCTCAGATATATATTGATAAACCTTGCAAACACAATTTCAAAAAAATTCATCTCTTCTTATTCACGATTATGTAACAGATAACATGAACAATTGTAACAACAAAAAAATACTACAATTTTGTGCACCAAATCCTTGGCAACAGCACCAGTACAGAAGAAACAGCTTGTTCTAGGATTTTATGTTGGCTAGCATTCATGGGAGGTCCATTGGCAATATTCTCAAGTCCGTAGACCTCAACATGCATATTAGAGAAGCTTTCACAGAAGCAAAGTATTTCTCTGTCAGTGGAGGCTCAGAGAAGAATACCTATACTTATTACTACCTCTTTCAGCATGCTATATTTTGGAATTAGTGTTACCCTGTCCACTTACCTGATTTCAACTTTGCTGATCAAATGTCTTATTTGCTAGCTAAAATTTCTGAATCAAAACTGTGAATTTTTTTAAAAGTGGTTTGTGCTTGTAACCAAGTAGTATTTGTTAGCCGCGAGTCTGTGGAATTAATGGGAAATTCCGGAAGTTGCCATCCAAGTCTGTGATGAACTGCTTAGGAAGTTAGTGTGTGTTTGGGGAGCGCTCAAGTGTGAAAGAGTTCACCTATAATAATTTTACCAGTTTAAGTGATAATTCAATGTAAGAGATTTGAAAACAATCTTCCTGGAAGAAGTATCTTTCATTCCATGTTTAAGCAAATATTTGGTTTCCACCTTCTTGGGTCCCTCTGGAAAAAATAAAACTCAGAAGCACCAGACTGCCCTGAGCTCCAACCAGAAGACTGAAGATACTGAAATTGCTTACTTCTACTTGTTAGTCACTCTTATAACTCTCTCTCTCTCTCTCTCTCATTGTGTACACACACACACACGTGTTAAAAATTAAAAATGTGGAGGTATGGAGGGCCTGAGATGGTTGAGATGCTGCCAGAAAAAAAGTTCCTTGGCCCCTTGCCATATATCTTATGGCCTGCATGTTGCCTACTGCTGAGCTCAAGATTTTTGTTTGCTGTCTTACTGTATTTAGTTTAAACAATTAAAATCATCATTCTATTGCCACTTTATATCTTCGCTAATGGGTGGATTTGATTCAAACCACAATTTACATTTAAGAATTTGATTTTTTTAAAATGATTTGATTTTAAAAATATATTTTTAAATTGTGATTTAAATTGATTTTTTAAAAATCATTTATTTTCATCCAGCCTGTTTGCTAGTTTTCTCCAGTATCCAGCAACTTATGGATTTATATCTTTCAAATTTTTTGTTGGGTCTATTTGGGTTTTTCATGGCCATTTTGAAACTCTTAAATTCTGACATAATTGAAGCAAACAGACCTTTACAATTTATATCAGATCATTTTGTCCAAACGCTTTAAAAGTTAGATGAATCCCAACAAAGTCTAGTGACTTAGATAGGAAAAATGATCAGAAGTAAGTGTGTCCCTTGCCATGTATTTTTCTTTCCCATGTAATGTATATTAGAAGGCATATATTCTGATGCTTACTGCCAGGTTGTAAAGTCTGTCACAAATATACTACCAATTCTTGTGCACACACTGTCTATCAACATGGTTAGCTAATTTGATGTTGCACTTGGATTTTGGGCTATTTTTCACAGTGCTGTCCCTCTTGTTTACTTAAGTATGATGTTCCTGATTTTCCGTTTTTGTTTTGGTGAGAAAGAAAACATGATTTAACTGCTTTGTTAAGGAGCTGTCCCAAAAATTGGTTGAACAGAAGAACCACAAAGGACTAGGGGTGAAGACTCAAAGACAAATTGAACTGTTCAGTTATTGTGTGTACTGTTTTACATTTATAGGCCAGAGCCTCAACAAAAAGTTCCTTCTGCACCACCACCACCTCCTCCACCACCACCACCTCCTCCACCTCTCCCAGAGCCAGCACCACCGGAACCAGAGGAGGAAATTCTGGGATCTGATGATGAAGAGCAAGAAGATCCTGCAGATTATTGCAAAGGTTAGTGAGTATAAATGGTGTCAATACAGTGATGCCTCGCTTAATGATGTTAATTGGTTAAAAAAAACATCGCTATGGGAAAACATCGCTAAGCGAAACACAATTTCCCATAGGAATGCATTGAAAACCGGTTAATCTGTGCCATTGGGAACGGATTACCTTCCTTAAGCGAAAATCGCCATAGGAAACATCGCTAAGCGAAACAATGTTTCCCCCATTGGAATGCATTGAAGCCTATTCAATGTATTCCAATGGTTTTGCGATGTCCGTTTTTGCTATTTTTAAAGTGTTTTAAAATGTTCAGAAACTGTTTTAAGTGCTTGGGATCATTAGCGCACCCTGTAAAACCTTTGCAAACTTAATTTGGCTCTGTTCTGACTCTTCGTTAATTTTTGGTGAATATTTTCTCTCCCATTGGAATGCATTGAACTGCAAGTTTGACAGCTGTCAATTAATTTTTGGTTGTGGTCAGGTACACAGCCAAGTGCATGACCTGAATAGGTCTGAGCTCATAACAAACAGACAGAAGTTACACAATTTTGGGTTATCTGGGGATTGGAACCAAGGCTTTGTGAGTCCTAGTCCATCACTCTGTCCACTACACTAGTGGTTCTTAACCTTGGGTTACTCAGGTGTTTTTGGACTGCAACTCCCAGAAGCCTTCGCCACCAGCTGTGCTGGCTGGGGGTTCTGGGAGTTGCAGTTCAAAAACACCTGAGTAACCCAAGGTTAAGAACCACTGCACTACACCACAGTGGCTACAAGTCCTCACCTTGAAAGCCCTGTTAGGATTGCTGTATGTCAATTCTGACTTGATGGCACATAACAACTGATGTTAGATTCGACAGCTATATTGCCAGATTTCTAATTTTATGTGTGCTTTATTTTATTTGAAAAGGAGGCTATCATCCAGTGAAAATTGGAGATCTTTTCAATGGCCGGTACCATGTCATCAGGAAGTTAGGATGGGGACACTTTTCTACTGTCTGGCTATGCTGGGATATGCAGTAAGATATAACACACGTTTGTTTATTTCTGTTGTATGGTACATAAATGGCATTTCACTGTAATTATTTGATATAAAGAAGCCAAGGGATTAGAATGATTGGAGTTTTTAGTCTATGCCCTATGGAGAACTGTATAGGGATATTTTTTTTAAAAAAAACATATATATGTATAATATATTTTAGCCATGTTTGTATTTTGTAGTACTTAGGAGAATCTGAACTCTAAATTTGTTTCCTTTGATCAATTATCAGTGTATTGAAATAAATGTATTTTACAAGTATAATAAGATAAGTGTAATTTTGAGTTAGTTGCTGGTAACTTCCCCTTGAATTCTGTTATCAGAAGAAAATTTGCATGCTTCTGAAACAACATTTTTTTAACCCCCACGTATCATTTATGTCCTATTTTGGGGGGGGGAATGTAGTGACTCTGATCGCTTCTGATTGCTTACTTTGTTTTTTTAAAGGGGGAAACGGTTTGTTGCAATGAAGGTTGTGAAAAGTGCGCAACACTATACAGAGACAGCCTTGGATGAAATAAAGTTGCTTAAATGTGTAAGTACTGTGACAACAGACTGCATTTAATATTTATACATGCAGGACTCCACTGGACTGATGTCTCTTCAGATCACTGAAGCATCTTGCACAATTAGAATGTGTGTGTAAATATTGAGCAGGATGCTGGTTGGGGAGCATTAAAGTGATTATTTAAACATATGTGCAATGTGATGATTCTTGTAGATCCTGAGAAAACATTTCATTTTTTAAAAATGATGGTGTCCTTAAATGAATGATTAAAATAATATGTCGATGCTTATTTCTGAATAAAGATATATTTAAATGGCTCTTCTTTTTTTTCACCTTCGTTTTTAGGTCCGTGAAAGTGACCCTAATGATCCAAATAAAGACATGGTTGTACAGTTAATTGATGACTTTAAAATTTCTGGAATGAATGGAATTCGTATCTTTTTCTTTATTCCTTTTTCTCATTGTCTAATGTTTCTCTTTGTGTTTTACATGGTAAAAAAATTGATCCAGTAGATTTTTTTTTCAGCTTTAATATATAATTATTTGTGTGTGATATAGTAACTAACTGTTGAACAGGCTATGGGCTATATTCATTGCCATGTCACTCCTGCAAGCATAATAGGCCTTCCTCCCTGCCTCCTATATGCCCCAAATCTGCCTTTGAAGATTGCCAAACCTCTTGGAAAGGAAATGAGGGTCATATGTGGTGCTGAGAGGGGTAAGCTGTTCTGTCCCTAGTGTGTGTTCCACTGTCAGATGAGCACCATTTAATACAGCTGCATATGGAAGTTCAGAATGAAATGTCATGAAAGATGAGAAGACCATATATCTCTAATTCAAACAAAAAAGAGATTTCCTAATCGTTTCTCATGGTACATTTCTCCTTTAATACTCATCTGTATACTTTTGCTCTTCAGAAATAGCGTTTGAGTTTCACATTTAGTTGAGAAGATGTCTGTTCTCTAGGATAATTAGATTTCTCTGACAATATTTTCCTTGTAGGAAGTTTTGTTCTGCTCCTAAATAGTTTTTCCTTGAGTTCTTTAAATGGAGCTAACAAATGATTTCTTATAGGGAGAATTAGCTACAACCTCATCATCTCATGAATTGCTTTGTTTTGCTGCAGCCATATCTCAGAAATTTTAAAATCTAATAGATAGCATTAGAATATTAACAGATATTCCTTTGTAAATGATTTATTGGGATCTGTACATAAATAATAGGCATGTATCTGTTTTTGTCAATGGTTGTTTTTGTAGCTGAATGAGAAGTATTGCTTACCGTTGACAGCTTCAACATCTAATAAAATAATGTATTCCTACCATATTAAAATTAGATGTAAAGTATTATTGCAAGATACAATAATACTGTTTATGCTGGCGTAATGGAAAGTTGTGCTGGAATAAATGTGCACTGTATTACACCTGGCACCAAGAGATTGGGCTGCAATCAGTTGCAGGTCCTCAGCATGACTGATTGCACCATGCACGGCCGAAGTGCTTCAGGGATTGCACTTCTGCCTCAGCCATTGTACGTATTCCAAAGGCATAACCTCAAATTGCATGTGCATATTTGTGGAACAGGATTTTGGCCACTGATTTGGTTTATGCTGTAGTAGTGTTCTTTATTCATATGAAGCAGATGATTGTCCAGCTAATGTGAACTTAATTACTGCCCTCTTTTTATAGAACCCTTCCTTAAATATGACTAATAAATAGATTTGTGCATGGCAGTGGGCTGTGTACATAAATACCTGCCCAACAAGATGATCAGTATCTCAAGTTTTGACAAGTAAATGAGAGAAAAATTTTACTGCATTCAGTATGATTTGAATGCAAGTCTGTCATCAAGGAAATTGGGAATAAATAAGTTTTCATCTTTGAATGTGCTGACTTTTCATTATCATATGCTGAATGACAGACCACCAGGTTCAGGGAGTCCTGCTGTAATCACTCATCTGCACTACCCTATTGATCTTGGAGTGAGTGAGCCCAGAAGAGTCAAATGTAGTGATGGCTAGGAAACCTGCCTGGTCCCGGCATCTCTCAAAGGTTTAGTCCCGTAGTTCCCAACCTTAGGTCCCCAGATTTTCTTGGATTAAAACTCCCTGAAACTTTCACCACTAGCTGTGTTGGCCAGGATTTCTGGGAGTTGCAGTCCAAGAACATCTGAAGATCTAAGGTTGGGAACCACTGTTCTGGTCTCACCTGACTAGGTAGTGCTTTCAGGGAGGTCCAAGTAATCCACTGTGTTAAGCACTTAGGACTATTACACCAACCTTGTAAGGTGGAACTGCCAGCACACCCACAAAATATCAAGACTCCTGGTGAGTGAAGGCAAGACCTGGTTTTAAGTACCACAAACACTCTTAGCAAAAACCCCAAACAATTGGATGAAGAAATTTTTTATATTTTATTAAAGACAGTGAAAAAGACAAAAAAGTGTCAAAGGTATTTGGGGGAAAATCAGTTAGAGTCTTAAAACTAGAGCAATATGGAGAAATGCACTCAAAAATAAGAAAGCTAGCTAAGCTACCTAGTACTTTCACACAAGCATAACATCCGTATGATCTTGGGGCATACACAGAGTGCATCCTTCTTGGTATGGCATGGCATGGCAGCAAAGAGATGACTAAGACAACTAATGCAACTTGTGAACCCCTTTATATATCTTAAACGTTACATTCTAGACCTTTTGAGATGGTCTGCTAATTAGGTTTTGAATTCCCTCAAATGTTCAGAAAGACAAGAGCATTTTGCCCCCCCCCTTCCTTTCACACAGCTGAATCATTTTCCAGTTAGCACAGTACCATGGAACCAGCAAATTTATCCTTGGAGACTTCACTCAAAAGATAAACTATAGGCGGTACTCCATTACTGGCAGAAACTGCCTCCACTTTTTTCTCAGCTGGCTATTCCAGGCACTGACAAAAAGTCAGATTTTTCCACAAGCAAAGCGTAAAAAGTGTCCTACTTATATACCGCCCCATAACGCTTCAAGCACTCTCTGGGCAGTTTACAAGTTAATTATGCAGGCTACACATTGCCTCCCCAGAGAGCTGGGTAATTTTACCGACCTCGAAAGAATAGAAGGCTGAATCATCCTTGAGCTGGCTACCTGAGATTGAACCCCAGGGCGTGAGCACAGTTTTAGCTGCAGTACAGCAGTTTAACCACTGTGCCACGAGGCTCTTTGTGAACCCTCACAAGGATTCACGAGTCATGTCCCCCCAATTTCTCAGTTTCTTCACACCGGAAATCTGAAGGCTTTCAAAATGTGCTGTATTATAGCAAAAATGTTCTCTCTTCTATTTTATTATTTTTCTGTTTTTGGAGGGCCGTTTGCCAGAGTTTTCATTTTGTTAAATCGTATTTTGATAACACCTGTTTAGGGGAAAAACTCCTCCTTTCCCGTTCCTGTTTCACAGAATGCTGGGTAATGGTCAGACAGAATTCTACCAGAGCTTCAGAGGTGGTTTTTTTTTTTTTTAAAGCTCCCAGAATTCTCCAGGCAGCATGGTTATAGTCTTTCTTATTGAAAGATTTTGAAAGTTGTAGTGAAAAAGTGACATTTGCAAGTTTTGGTTTAAAGAAAGCAGACTAGGGAAGTGGGTGGCTGGGACAGGCTAACATCCATTCTTAGGCAATCCTCTTTCATTTTCCATCTGTACCAATGATTATGCATTCTTGAGTAGTATTCGCTACATTCTTGATTACAATATTAAGTGTTTTCTGGTATGATCTTGGAAAGTTGCTTAGCAATGAATGGAGATTACTTGCCATTTATCCTTAATTATATCTCAGATGTCTGTATGGTTTTCGAAGTCCTTGGACATCATCTTTTAAAATGGATAATTAAGTCCAACTATCAGGGCCTTCCTATCCGTTGTGTGAAAAGTATAATACAACAGGTAAGATGTCAATATCTTGTTTCTATAAATGTGTTACTATTTTTAAAGTAAAAACCAATTAAAATTGTTGGGATTGCTCCTTTGAGATACCTTAGTTCTGATAATGTTTTTGTGCTCAGTGCTTCCCATTGTTTGTACTTAAGATTTTATAGATAATGTCTGTGATCTAGTATGTGTGGACTCAGTAATATCAGAGGTCATAGGCTTTCTTCACAAACTGTGCCTCTGCAGCATAGCTTTCCAGGTGAATTACAAATGTACGGTCTGATTCATCCTGAATTGCCACCCAGTGATGCTCTAGCCTCTACCCTTCCTGTTCTTTTCTTGGCTCCCTGTTGAATCAAGGAGCTAACTTGGCACTACAGTAGGAGGGGGCATTTAAGAGCAAGGGTGTCAACCACCTTAGCTATTTCCTTATTCCACCAGTTAGTCAGGACTTTGACAGCACAACTGATGAATGAGATGGGAAGCTCCCCAAGTGCATTCAGGAAAGTGTTAGGATCCATCAGGTGCCTGAGGTAGGGCATTTCAATTGGCCACCTATAGTTGCTAGTATTTGAAATGATTTGTTATTTTTTTTTTGATTGCACAATTTATTTTTGTTATTGTTATTTTGTTGATAATATTGTTCCTTGATTAACTCAGTGGTGGGCCCAAAGTTTTCTAAAGAAATAACATACAAGCAACAGACTACGACCCTGTTTCCCTGAAAATAAGACCTAATCTGAAAATAAGCCCTAGTATGATTTTTCAGGATGCTTGTAATATAAGCCCTACCCCAAAAATAACCCCCAGTTAAGTGAAACCCCGCCCTCCACCCTTGTGCAGCAACCAGAAGAAGATGACATGACTGTATTTGAATAAATGAGATTGTTGTACATGGAAAAAAAAACATCCCCTGAAAATAAGTGTTTTTGTAGCAAAAATTAATGTAAGATTAATTTTGTCTTATTTTCGGGGAAACATGGTATTTATCTATAATAATAGACTGTAATCTCTCTTCTAAGTTTTTAAAAAAATGTCTGCAAGAGAATGCATTTTTGTAGCTAAAAGTTAAGAAGGCTCATCTCGTAAATGTTTATAGTGATATTTTGAGTTTGGAAGCTAATTAATGGAAGAAATTTCCATTGTATTGAGATTTTGCTTTTGATTATTTTGTCATCAGGTATTGCAGGGCTTAGATTATCTTCATAGCAAATGTAAGATCATCCATACGGATATCAAACCAGAAAACATCTTGATGTGCGTGGATGACACCTACGTCCGTAGAATGGCTGCAGAAGCTACCGAGTGGCAGAAGGCTGGTGCTCCTCCTCCTTCTGGCTCAGCAGGTAGAGTAGTAAATTTGTGTGTTCAGTAGATGCATACTTACTGATCATAATATTGGCTGCCATAACATTTAATTAGTTTTAATTAATGGGCCAAATAAATTCAAACATGGCAAATTTGAATGTTTGAAAATGTTATTAACGTGAATAATATATAAGTATTATTCATTTTAATATAGGAAAGCAATCTGAGCAGTCATACACTATTACACTTTCAGTAGCCAATCGAAACTTAATTAAAGGTTTTAGCTGTGGTGAGTTTCTAATGTTAGGCAATAGTCATCACAGCTAGCACTATTTAAAAATAATTTTCTAATTTTTAATCTACACCGGTGTAAGTATAATTGCATATATTATTGTGCTGAATTGCTGGTTATTCTTCCTTACTGCATGGCAGTTGTGCAATGTAACCTGGAACCAGCAGTGCCAAGTGGCAACTGTGATTATTACTGGCAGTTCATGTGATTTATCCACTGTCACTTGTGTAAATCTTCAGTAAGATTCTGATCCCTGTGCTTGTGGTTAGTGTACTGTAGTGAAGCCATTGCAAACAGATGTGAGGATTCTTCTCCCAGCAACTTTATCCCAGTATACACAGAGCATATGTATTGCAGCATGCACATGCATCTGATGAAGTGACTGCAATATATGAAACTTTACGTAAAATAAAACTTGTTTTTCTTTTAAGTTTCCACAAGACTTGTTTTTCTTCATCAGAATCATGGCTCTCTTTCTGGAACTAGTAAATGACTTGCTGTAACATTCAAATTGTGATGTACAATATGTTTTACTAAACAATAGCTTCCAATAGTGACTGGTTGTTTTTGGGGGGCTAAATTCAATTTTTAGTGTCGATTAGAGTAGATCCATTGAATCAATGGCTGGCAGTCTGTTGCATAAGTTATGCAGGAGTTTTTTTAGAAATCAAACACTTTAGTTCTCTCTTCCCCCCCCCCCAATGATCTTGAGGCTCCCATGTTCATTCTAAGGAATCTGTTGGGGGCAGTGGAACAGGAGATAGAAGTTTTTAATTGCACAGAATTGCCACTGACAGTAAAGTCATCCTACTGGCAGTGACTTTTAGTAATTGAAAACTTTCCCCTCCCATCCAGTTACCCCCATAGCTTTCTGATGATGAAAGGGATTCCATAGGAGCCTCAGGACCTTTGGAGGACAAATTGGAACTGTTTAATTTTGGGGGGAAAATGCTGCTGCTGCTTTATGTAATGAGATTTCCATGGTGTAACTTTCAGTTACAGGATTTCAGCCAATGGGACTTCAAAGTGTTGGTTCTACAGTATAAGTATCATTCAGTCCATAGGTCTCTTCTAAGTTGGGAATAATAGCTGGCATGTTGTCTTCCATGATTCTTTAAAGTGAGAGTTGCTGCCTTCCAGCTGTTGTATTAGTAAAGGTAAAGGTTCCCCTTGACAAATGTTGAGTCGTGTCCGACTCTAGGGAGCAGTGCTCATCCCTATTTCTAAGCCGTAGAACCAGCGTTTGTCGGTAGACAGTTTCCGTGGTCATGTGGCCAGCGCGACTAGACACGGAACACCGTTGCCTTCCCATCATAGTGGTACCTATTTATCTACTTGCATTTTACATGCTTTCGAACTGCTAGGTTGGCAGGAGAGCTCTCGTATTAGTCTGTTTTAAATAGAAGTAATGGGAATTATATGGAAACTGGACAAATTTATAGCATATAAATTAGTAAGTTTGCACAATATTTATATTTTCCAGTTTTCATTTTATCTTTATGGAGAGCTTTTTTGATGATTAAAATATTTTAAGTCATATGTGGTATAGATTGATTATATCTATCACTCAAACTAGGTAGTAGTGTCAGAAACCTAAGTGTTCTTTCATAGCTTTAATAAATTGTGTAGTTGCTGTACTTTTGTTCTCCCTATGGTTTTGAACTTCATAGGCAAGATAAAAATGCTCTGTTTAAACTTCATCCTATGTATTAGGAAATTTCTTTCATAAACTTTGGTTACTATATAGAATGTGTACTTAACACTTGATGAATATGACTCTTAAGTTTGTTTTGGTGTTTGCTTTTTAGTGAGTACAGCTCCACAGCAAAAGCCTGTAAGTACTCTATATTCCTAGCGTAGTGTGTGTTTTTCATTTTTGTATGTTTGAAAGTTAAGTTATTGGCATTTAAATTTTCATACAAAGTCCTTATACACTTAAGCTTTTGTAATTGTTTGCTACCTTTGCCTACAACTTATTGCAAATTATATTTTTCCTTAAGATTGGATTTAATTTAGCTTTCAAAACATTTTGTGGCAGGAGGCAGGGTGAGGGTCTTGGGAGATCTATTGAAGTCCTTGTGTTTTGGAGTGGGACACATTTGGGAGTTGTTCTGGTCCTGGATACAAGCACCCTTGAACACCAGAAAAGCACTCCCAAGCCATCTCCTGCTTAGGGGTAGAGAGGGGTCAAGGGACACTAATCTCTTGAGAGCAGGAGGAGTATAACATTCAGCCCAAGAATGCTCTACATGATATCCATCTTGTTGTATCATAAGAAAAGGTTAACCTGCTTAAAGCAATTGCATGTTTGCTTAGCCAAGGTGATTGTGAATGCCACCTTGCATAAGCTCAAACAAGACAAGACACAGCTTGTTTTGCAATGGACTCTTGTGCAAGCATCAGGAATGAAGAGGATCCCACCCAGATCTTTACAGTTGTGCTGTACTTAGAATTAGGCAGAAGGGATTGGTGGAACTTACTATATTTTCCAGAAGATAGTGAAATACCTGCCACAATAAGTAAAATAGTGGTAATGGTTGTTTGGACAGAAGTCCAGGAATAGCCATTCTCTTTTTCCAGTGACAAGTTTTATCTTGAGTTGAATTCTTCACAGGATTGAAGAATCATTGTGCACGTTGTGTTTTTTGCCAGCAGCTACTATGTAGGGTTGGATTCTTGTGCAGTTGAACTGTTAAATTTCATTCATTGAAATCAGAAACACCTATCAAATATACTTTCCTCAAACTTCATTTTCCTGTACTTCATGGCAAATTACTCTTGAAGAGTTTCATAAGCTGCTTTTGATATGGCATGTGGACTAGCTGCTGCTGCTGAACAGAGAGAAGTAAATAAAGTAGGAAGTTTTAGATATAAGTGCAAACATTATGATATACAACATTTTAAAAACATGGTAATTACATTACTTTTGTTTTTGTGCTAACATTCAGTCTCCTGTGATGTGTTATATAAGCTGTCCTGTACACTATGAACAGAAAAGATTGTGTGAATCCAAAATGAAATTTTATCCACAGTTTGATGGTTGCAGTAGGTCTTAGGATGGCTATCAGAGAGGAGTGGTTCTGGTGGAGGGGCTAAGTTGTGCCTGGTTGTGCAGTAAACAAACAAAGCATTATGTGCAAGGGCACAGAGGAGTCAGCCCTGGATCTGCCAAGTTTAAAGTCGCTCTGTTTACTAAGGTGGGCCCAGTTCAGGCTGCTTGTTGGTTTTTCTTGAAGTTAGTGTAATGAATTGAAAAACATTATGTCACAGCGAGTCTGCTACTCTGTTCCTTCCATGACCCACTTTGAGTTGTTGTAGTTGTCTGTTTTTCCACAGGCATTTATTGAACTGAAATGTTGGAAGGCAGATAAATCATTTAGAATATTAGAAACCTTTATCACTTAGGTAATAATGATAACGTTTTAGCTTGAAAGTTTAGTCTATGGTAGTTGCAGTGATTTTACATGTTAAGCAAGTTCTTAGCTGACGGATACTAGATTTTTAAAATACAGTAATAGTCTAATCTTCACATTTGATAATTGTAAGTAACAGTAAATGATCATTACCTCTGCTAAATGTTCTAGATTGGAAAGATATCTAAAAACAAAAAGAAGAAACTGAAAAAAAAGCAAAAGAGGCAAGCTGAGTTGTTAGAAAAGCGTTTGCAGGAAATAGAAGAACTGGAGCGAGAAGCAGAGAGGAAAAAAATAGAAGAAAATATAACCTCTATTGTATCATCTAATGAACAAGAGGATGAATACCACCCAGAAGTCAAGCTAAAAACTGTTGAGTTAGAGGAGGTAGCAGATGAAGAACCTGGGAATGAGGATGGTAAGTGTTGATTATTTTCTCTAGAAGAGACACTATCCAGAGAGATTATCACAAGAATGTTGCTCGTACTCTGTATAACTTAGAACTGCTGCTACATGGCCAGAGTCAAAGAACTATGAAGCCATGGGTTTCAGGAGGACCAAGGTCCAAGGGTGTTAGTTCACTAAGAGAAACAATTTGGTTGATTGAGGAAGATTAAGTCCTCCTTCCCATAACATGCCCTCAAGATCTTTGCCAGAATGATGAAACACACCTTTCAGAACAGATCTCTGACCACACTAGAGGGCTAGGGAAGAAAAAGTTCCATTGGCGTGGTAAGTCGGATTTTGCAAACCAGGTCTAAACATGAATAAATACTATGATTAATAAAATGGAGATGGAAATGTAGTCTACAAAACTGAAAGAGAAGAGGGAAATGCTGAAGTTGCAAGGATTACACCATGGAGTATCTGGTCACTCGGCCATTGTGTTACATCTCTACTGAGACTGGGACATTAAACATTTTCATTAGCTCAGTAGACCTTTTCCTTTTAACAGCCAGCCTTCATACTCCTCAGAGCAATCTATTTCAAAAGCAGTTCTGCTACCCGGCACTGCCATTTATAGTGGACCCTTGAGTTACAGACGGCTCCACTTACAGACTTTTCGAGTTACAGACTTCTCTGGCTGCAAAATTTAGGTTTGACTTGCAGCCGGAGAATTGACCTACAGACCGGGAAAAAAACCAAACAAAATGGAACAAAAATGGCTGGTTGCGGATTAATTGGTTTTCAATGCATTGTAGGTCAATGGAGCCTCGACCTATAGACTTTTCGACCTGCAGCCACCGTTCCAATATGGATTAATTCCGTAAGTCGAGGGTCCACTGTACATAAAATATTCAGGATACAATAACACAGTTTTCCTGACAAAAATATTTCCGTCGTCTGCTGTTATTTCTTCTCAGCTTTGCATAGTTTTTGTTCATATTCATCAGTAAAACCATTTTATTTTCTTCTGATCTTTCCTTAGCTTCCCAACCACTTAATCTTTAGGATCTTTACGAAAGTTTGTGATGTAGGTATCTAGAAGAATTATAAGTAGCAACCATGTGTTAGGACTTCTACCATTGTACAGTACATGCTGTTCTCATTTCCATATGGTGCCTGTTATTTTGTTGCAGATATTATATTCAAGCATAAATTCTAAAATTATGCACAAGCAATTATGACAAAATTTTGAAGTTCATTTAAGCTGCACATTCAGAATATATGCTGCAAATATAATTGGAGTTAAGGCTTCAGACTTTATAACAGTGCATTGGGCTTCTCTTTGTGTGATTCTAGTTTCAGAACAAGTTAGAAAAAGTCACATTTTTCCATCTCTCTCTCTCTCTCTCTCTCTCTCTCTCTCTCTCTCTCTCTGTGTGTGTGTGTGTGTGTGTGTGTGTGTGTAAAAAATAGAGAGAGGGGGGGAATCTGGAAAATTTGAAATTCTTGGCTGAGGGAAATGTAGGAGGAAATGCTTAGATAAGACCATGAACATTATCTTGGAACAGAAGTATGGTTAAGTTTCAAGTGCCATATTTTTTAATATGCTAGAACTTTTTAGTTCATAGTGTTACGTGTTGTGTTGCCAAAATGAAATATAATATAATTAAGTGTGTGTGTTTGTTTGTTTGTTTATTTATCTGTCACCAAGGTGAAACAGAAGATCAAGATGAAAAAGAAGACACAGAAAAAGAAAATACAGAGAAAGATGATGATGTTGAACAAGACCTTGTCAACTCCGAGTCCACGGAGCCTGCTTGGACAGAATCCCCTAAAACCAATGGCCATGTTATAAACGGTCCTTTCTTATTGGAAGAACAGTTAGAAGATGATGATGAAGAAGAAGAGGAATGCCCAAATGCTGAGCAATATAATCTTGATGAGCCAAATGCAAAAAGTGATTACACTTACAGTAGCCCTTATGAACAATTTAATGGTGAATTGCCAAATGGACGTCATAAAATTGCTGAATCACAGTTTTCGGAATTCTCGGCTTCTGTATTTCCTGGAGGTTTAGATTCTGTAGCTTGTGGTTCTGCTGTTTCTGAAGAGTCAACTATAACTGAAAGAGAGGAAAGTATTCCTTCGCATGATAGGAGCAGGACAGTTTCAGCATCTAGTACTGGAGATTTGCCAAAAAGTAAGCATTTTTAAAATTTAACATATTGCTGATTACATTCTGTTAGGGAACAGTGTGGTTAATTAGACTCTAAAAGTATTTTCAGCATACTATCCTTTTGGAGCTTTAAAATCCATATGGCACTGAACTTGGTAGATACATCTTCATCGTAAAATGGAAAAGAAGATAATACACACATATACACACTGATGGTTTTGGCCATTTTAAGACATGGTATTATTGGGGATTTTTGTTTGCATGTGTTGCATGAATTGCTAAAATCTGTGCTATGCAACAGTTCATACTCATTTTTAGAACTGGCTTCTGAAAAAGTTGAGCTGCAAACTATGAAGACATATGCTAAAAACAAATTACTGGACTTTCAGGTGCACAAACCTTATTGTTTTAGAAGTGGGCAGTTCAATTATCAGCACAGCATTGTTGCTGGGAAGCAACAAGTTGTGTGAGGAGTCCTTTGCAATTGAAATCCCTTTGGGCATGTGCTTCTTAGACTGTAGCTCACCAAGTCAAATGGCAAGTTCCTTTTGAAATTTAGATGCATTCAGAAGCAATTTTGTAACATAGGAGGATCTCCTGTAGGGACCTTCTCTTCAAATGGGGAGGGAAGTGAATGTAAAAATCTTAATATTGTTTCTGAAGCTCTTAAAAAACCTCCCTAAAGTAGCTCTTTATGTTGCAGTCTAGGATGTGAAAGGACATCAGATAAGACGTATTGTTGGTAATACTGTTTCCCATGGTACTACAGCTTGTGTGGTTGTACGTGTGTGTAGTGCATGTTAGTACATATAGGATGCATACTGTTTCTCTCCCCCCATAAATTTGAATTTGCATGATACAAATGGTTATCCTTTGTTAGTTTGAGGTTTATTATTGTATTTAGTTTACAGCTTTCTTTGATAGGGTTCTTAAGTGTAATTTGCATAATTTCCCCCTCCCCTTTAGCTTTGGGACTTTTTTCTTTAAATTGGAAAACCAGGAAGTTTTAATTCATTTTTTATTTCCTTTTCCTCTTTGCAGGGTTTTAGGGCTGGTTGGGACAGGTGGGAGCGAGAAGGCACTGGGTTGGAAAATAAATAAATTTGAACATAATTAGATCAAGAGGATACCAGTGGTATGGGGCCGGGGGAAATACGTGGCGGGTGTTGTCATTCTGGGAGGGTTTGGACTAGGGAATTGATCGCTGTCCCAAGCTGTCACACATACCCTGAGAGGAGCGGGGTAACCAGTTCAGTCATTCCAATCAGACTCTTCTGCTGTTGAATGCCGGGTGGGTCTAAAACAAATCACAGCTTATTTATGATCTCATTGTGGGTGAGAGGGCCAACCTGGCATGTATTACATGGACCTGGTGGGTGCAGAGGGAAGGGTACCCCTCTCCTAGCTGTGTCCACCTGGGTATTCCATCCAACATCAGGGGAGATTGGATGGATGGGGGTGGCTGACTGTGAGGCACAGGGATTCAGTCAATGTTTGCAGGACCTCCTCACTTCTGTCCCCGAGCCTAGAGTGTCTTTAACTGACAGTGGGATAAAGGGATAGATTTGGGTGGTGCTGGCTTATCACTCTCCCCACAATTCATCACTGTCTCTGACAGGGCTGACATATTTCATCTCACCTAGAACACTAGAGGATGTGGTCAGAATACTTTTGAGCTGTAAGCCCACCACTTCATCAGCTCATGCCACCCAGTCCACTCAGGCTGATCTCCAAGTGCCCACTTCGAGGGAGGCAAAGAAGACCTCCATGAGGAGCTGAGCCTTCTTAGTAGTGGCTCCACATCTTCAGAACAACGTTTCTATGGAGAATCATCATGCCCCTCCCTCCCAACCTTCAAGAAACAGTTAAAAACTGTTTCTTCAAGGAAGCCTTTAGAGAGATTCTCCCCCTGCGATAATTACAAACATGGTTTACTGGGTGGCCATCAGTGTATCTGTTTATTATGGAATGTTTTATTAGACTGGGTTTATTTGTGATTTGATTGGGCAGAGAAGTGTATTGGGTTTAGTATACAGTGGTGCCTCGCTTAGCGATTGCCTCATTTAACAATGTATTTGCTTAGTGATGAGGTTTTAGGAGCGATCTTGCGTTCCGTTTAGCGATGTTTCCAATGGGGGAATTTCACATAGCGATGTTTGGGACCTTGCTTTGCTTAGCGATGACAGTTTAGGTCCCCTTGTTTCCCTTAGCGATGTTTTTGACAGCTCCGTTTTCGCTATTTTTAAAAGGTGTTAAATTGTTTAAAAAGGGTTTAGAATGGTTGAAATCGTGAGTGCACTTAATAACCCCTTTGTTAACCAAATTTAGCTTCGTTCTGATTCTTTTTGAATTTGTGGTGATTTTTTTTCTCCCCCATTGAAATGCATTGAAAAGGTTTCAGTGCATTCCAATGGGGGAACCGCGTTTCACTTAGCGATGATTCCAATGGCAGTTTTCACTTAAGGACGGCAATCTATTCCCATTGGAATGGATTATCCGGTTTTCAATGCATCTCTATGGGAAAACACGTTTCGCTTAGCGATGTTTTCCCATAGCGATGAATTTTTTGGACCCAATTAAAATCGTTAAGCGAGGCACCACTGTATTGTCAATTAGCTAGAGTAGTGCTTTGCACTAAATTGGGCAGTATATGAATAACTGGAATACAGTAGGACCCCTGTATCCACAGGATTAATATCCACTGATTCATTTATTAACTATCAGAAAATATTAAAAGAAAAATCTTAGAAATATCTATAGCATTTGCTGTAATCAGTGTTTTTCAGCGTCTGGGGGGAATGCTTGGAATTGATCCCCACAGATACGGGGGTCCTACTGTAAATAAATAAATCATTGTGGATTTAAATAAATCATTGCTTCTTCTCTTACATGACTGAAGTAATAAGTGAGCTATAGTTCCAGTTCACAGCCATTTTAACTTAAAGGGATAGGCATTTAAATTTTTTTTTTTGAATTTATCTTCTCTATGGGCGCAAGTACTTTGAAATTCTCTGATTTTGCTGCAGATCTTCTTATTAATTCTGATGTATTTTCTGCCAAGTACATAATGACAGTTTAATGAGATAGATTTCCTTTTTCTTGTCTATTCAATACATTTTGTTCACCTAATAGAACTAAATTTTTTATAGCTTATCCACTCGCATTGAGTTCTTTCACTTTCTAGCTTATGTACTCACATAGGGGTGGGGGATGTTGGTGCCTTGACCATCCTGAGGATCCTGAGTGAGGCAGAGCGTGATGGTTTAGATTTACAGTCAACCCTCGATTTACAAACTTAATCCGTTCCGGAAGTCAAATCCGCATTTCCCATAGGAATGCATTGAAAACCAATTATAGTAACCTGTTCTGGCTGTTTTTGGTTCTTAGGTCGAGGGATGGTTTGTAACTCTAATCATTAGTTCCCATAGGAACTAATGCAAAACCGGTTAATCCGTTCCTACCTCTATGGGCAGAATTTTTTTCTTTTTTTCCTTTTAACCTAAGATGACTTAGGTTAAAAAAAAGAAAGAAAAGAGGGAGGGAAGGAGGGAACAGACACCTTTTGAACAGAACACCTTGAAAAGCACCTTTTCAATCAAAACAAACCAATACAAGCACCTTTGGGGAAAAGGGGGTCAGCAAAGGAGGGAGAGAACACCTTTTAAAAATCCAAAAATCAAAAATTTAAAAAAAGCCAAAAAATAAAAATACAGTCTCTACAGCACTGTACCCGGCAGTACCAGGCAGTTTGAAGACTGTCTCCAAATCCTCTCTCAAAATGCTGGGAATAGCTAGGAAGCAGACAGGCACCCTCTTCTCTGGCCAACGGTTAACTGAAAGTTCAAATTTCACGCTTTCCCCACCTCCTGTGTGGTTTTTTTGGTTCATAATTCGAATCTAAGTTTGCAAGTCGAGTCAGTATTTTTCTGTCAGAGCGGTTTGTAAGTCAAAGTGTTTGTAACTAGGGCTGTTTGTAAGTCGAGGGTTGACTATACTTCAGGTTCATACCCCTAGTATCTGTGCCCTCTTATGTTTCCTGAAATTTCTTCTTTATTTAATTAATTAATGTATTTATTTACAATATTTTTTAGCCGCACCATTACCAGTGGCTTCTGGGTGGCATACAACATTAAAACTTAAAAACATTTTAAAAGACAATATAAAATATATATTAAAATAATTCTTAAAACTTTAAAATTAATAAGTCCTGCTGCTCATGTGGCCAGCTAGGGAATACTATTTAATTAAAATGCTGGATAAACAGAAAGGTCTTTGCCTAGCGCCGAAAAGCCAAGAGTGTTGGAGCCAGGCGGATCTCTATAGGGAGGGCATTCCAAAGTTGGGAGGCAACAGCCGAGAAGGCCCTATTTCGACATGCCATCCCCCTCACCTCTTCATGGATGGCATCTTCAGAAGGGCCTCCTGGCCTGATCTCAGAGGACGGGCAGGCTCATATGGAAGAAGGCAGTCTAGGTCAGTGGTTCTTAACCTTTGTTACTCAGGTGTTTTTGAACTGCAACTCCCAGAAACCCCAGCCAGCACATCTGGTGGTGAAGGCTCCTGGGAGTTGCAGTCCAAAAACATCTGAATAACAAAGATTAAGAACCAGTGGTCTAGGTAACCAGGTCCTAAGCTGTTTAGGGCTTTATATGTCAAAGTAAGCACTTTGAATTGGGCCCAAGCAGCAACCGGCAGCCAGTGCAAATTTTTCAGAACCAACGTGATATGAGTCTGTGTGGCGGCACACACAGCGCAGCACGGTTCTGTTCCAGTTGCAGTCGTTGGGGAAGTTGATATATTCTCCGCAGCTGTAAGAAGGCACCCCTGGACACTGAGTCCACCTGGGCTTCCAAGGTCAGACTGGGGTCAAGGAGCACCCCCAAGCTGC